GAGTAGATGGCGTCTGGCTCTGGTTTAAACTCTGAACACAAACACAGTTCAAACAACATTACAGTATTGTTTTTGACAGAGATTAGACTTACTGAGCCTCAGTGAAGATGTGGTTTGCTCGTCTCTGTACAAAGTTAAAGTGCAGCTGTACCTTTGGGACTCCTTGATCTGGTGGTTTTCGGTCCATAGCAGAAGTCGCCTGTTCTCACTTCTGAGTAGATTGTAGTTGAATCGCTCTCTGCAGAGTAAAATGCAGAAATTAAGAATTTACACACATTACATTACTGTTATTTTCTATACTGCAGCTATTGCAAAATATTTGTCCTGTTCTTCATGAAGAGATTAAGTAAAAATCTTTTTATAGCTGCATAGTTTCTTCCCCCCTTCTTAGCAGCTCTTCTGTGAAACACAGTAACCACACAGAACCTTAGGGGGATGTTTGCATAAAAAGGAGGGCAGACGACCACAAAGATGCTGTCTTCTTTCAGGCTGACATATTTCACCACAGAGCAAAAAGCAAACTTGTTCTGACAACATGAACACTGTTACTGCCTGATCTGGAATCAGCAAGAGGAAGCAGCTTGTGTGGTTTTTAAACAGAATTTTAAAAAAGTCAGTAGTGACTCATCGGTGTTCAGTCTCTTTATGCCCTCCTGAAACACACGAGTCCCACTGTTGATCTGTCAAATCCTTTATTATAAACATGTACTGTAGTCTCTCATGATTTACACTCCATCTTGCTTCAACAAACACTCAAAACAAAGTTAAAAATAATTTAATAAAGTGATTAAAAGAGCTTTAAAATATATTTAGAAATGCCTCTTAATTATAGGTACAAGTGCTTGAATAGGATACAGAATTCATTCAATGATTGGCAATCAAAAACACATTGTTCCTCTGGAATTCCAAGTTCAACCAACAGATAGATGTTCATCGCTGCAGTGGTTGAAAGCGTGGTCACATGGGCCTCTTTTGTTAAGAAGGAGACGTCACCACCCCAGGCTGACAATCAACAGGGGTAGATAGTGCTTGACATCAACTGGTTGTCAATCAATGATTAACTCAAGTGATTTAAATCAAATAACTTAAAAACTTAATTAAAAAAATGATGCTGGACATCTATACTGAAACTCAGTTTGTTTGGCCCTCATGTGCTTGATTGCATTCCTAACAATGCCCTAATGAGACTGCAGATTCTGTCCTGGGAGATCCTGTTCAGGACATCACTTAAGATCTAGACAGTCTGAGATGCAACCATGAAGCATCAGATGGACTGAAACATAACATAACAGAGACGTTCTATTGGATTTAGGTCAGGGGAGCCTCAGGGCCAATCAATAGTATCAGTTCCTTAACCCTGCATACTCTTACCACAGGGAATTGTTGTATACCAGGAGGAACCCAGGACCCACTGCAGTAGCATAAAATCTGACAATAGACATTCACACCAGTGGCCTGCTGGAAGCAGACTTTTTTATAGCAGGTTGTTCTTAGTGACAGCTGATAGCAATGAGCTTTTCTACACACTGTGCCTTATTTACAGTATTTACAACTCAACACAGTTCCAAGAATTTGTCTGGATGGAGCTCCACTATCTTTGCAGACAGTTCTGCAGGTCTGTGGATCACACGAGGCTGTGCCCTCAGCCATCTTGCCCCACCTTTGTCTCTTACAGCTGAGCCACAAACCACAGCCCATGGCCACAGGATTATCCTTAGTGTCTGGCTATAAAATCAAACCATGATGGAGATGAAGAAATGCAGTTTTACCTCTCATCTTTAATTCACTCTGTTTCTCTTTGACCATAATTTGTCCATAACTGACATCTTCTGCAGCTGGATCATTATCTGCAAAAGTACAACACGCACAGAGGTCATCACTGAGATGGAATTATAAATACTGATATCCCATAAATGTAAAGCAGTACACTTATACAGTACAGTACAATACATATGTATATATATCCAAAAAGTTGATTCTGTTCATCTGGAAGTAGCATTTTCATTTCTTCACTCATCCAAGAGGTCAGTTCCTTGATCATTAATATGCCAATTGTGATGACCATTGATCAACAACCACTGATCATTAATCAAAGACTCAAGGGGGAGTCTCTTGGCCTCCAATAACACTGTGAGGAGCTTTGGAGTCATTTTTGACCAGCATATGTCCTTCAACGCACATATTAAACAAATATGTAAGACTGCTTTCTTCCATTTGTGCAACATCTCTAAAGTTAGAAATATCCTGTCTCAGAGTGCGCTGAAAAACTAGTTCATGCATTTATTACTTCCAGGCTGGACTACTGCAATTCATTATTATC